TTATATGTCAAATATATAATTTAATAATATTTATGTAATTTATAAAAAAAATGTATTTATTGATATAGGGTACACGCGCAAAGCGCTATATATATATATATATATATATATATAGAGGCACGGACACAGCCCACAACAACCGATGGAAATTCGACACGTACTAAGCTTCGCCCCACGTGCATGGCACCTTGCGGCGTTACCTGCACGACGCTTCGCCGTTCCGTTGCCAAAAGCCATCCGTTGCCACGAGTGATGCCACACCAGACACAACCCACAACAACCGCACGACACTCGACACGTACTGAGCTTCGCCCCATGCGCATGGCACCTTGCGACGCTACTTGCACGACGCCTCGCCGTTCCGTTGTCAAAAGCAAGCAGCTGCCACAAGCGATGCAGCAACCAGGCACAACCCACAACAACCGATGGCAATTGACATGTACTGAGCTTCGCCCCATGTGCATGGCACCTTGCGGCGTTACTTGCACGATGCTCCGCCGTTCCGTTGCCAAAAGCCATCAGCTGCCACGAGTGATGCCAGGCACAGCCCACAACAACCGATGGCAATTGGCACGTACTGGCACGTATTAATTTTTTCCTATGAGCATAATGTGAACCNTATATATATATATATATTCTAATAACTAGGATGTTACTCCTAATTCCCATATTAGTAAGGTAGAATCTTATACTGAAAATAATAAGTGTTGCCCAAATCCATCGATATTAGTGAGAGTGCTAGGATTGAGGATGACATAACAAACACAACAAAGAAACTTAACATGAATTGCATGTGATGTTCCTTATGTGTGACTGTTTGTTACGTTGCTTTCTCTCGAATTATGCATGCGATGCAAACACCCCCTACGTCACTGTTCACTATGCCATCAATATATAGCAACTTTTCCTTAAAACAACGTAACTCTCTCAACAATCCCACATCTGTTCTGTGGAGTTTGAGATTGTAAGTTCATAGCAAAATGAACTCAAAGAGTAGAAGTACCATTGAGGTTGGAGCTGATGGAGTTGCTGTTATCACCATTGTTAACCCTCCTGTCAATTCTCTTTCCTTAGATGGTATGTTAAGAACTTCATACATCTCCTTTTTTTTCCTTTCGACATTTTTCGTCATTGTTTCAACATTTTACTATATATTACGGGTTCGAGCCGTGGAATCGGCCAATAATACTTGCATGCATTAGGGTATAGGCTATCTACACCATACCAAAAGATGCGACCCTTCTATGGACCCCGAGTGAATACATGATGCTTTGTGCACCGAGCTGCCCTGCCCTAGAAGTTTCAACATTTTCCTAATATTAGATATATTGGAAACTTTTACATTTTAAATATATTTAATTTGTAGTTGTAAAGAATATTATTTCCCCCTGCATGAGGTGGGATGATTTTATTCTTAGAAATCCGAACTTTCTTGTCATGGTTTCTTGTATTGAGTTTCTCATAGTTAGTGTATGAGTCAAAATTAGGTCTAGTTTAGCCAATGCCAACGGACGAGCTGAGGCCGAGGTCGAAACCAAGTACAGTCCAGTGGCGAGGAGTCGCTAAAAGGGAGAGACCAGTGCCGAGGTCGAGTAGAGAGCAAACGGCTGCAACTGTTAGAATATTCCTAGGATCATAAATACTAATATTCTATTGAATATTCCCCCATATTTTACTTTTTTAGGTTTTCTAGGGATATCCCTTATAAATAGGAAGAGAGAGGAAACAAAAAGGGATTCTGAACCTTTATGAAAGAACATCCTGCAAAAAGTTGACTATCAAGAATATACCAATAGCTTGTCTTGTCTCTCTAATTTGATTCCATCACATAATATTCCTCTTTAGTTCACAAGATCCAAGAACACATAGTTCACTTCCATTGTCTGCTGCCACACGTTGTAGTCAGAGGAAGGAACCATCCGTCTCATCCAACATTTGGGTGACAAATTCCTTCTCATTACATTTAATGACATTTATCACATTTATTGCATGTTTTCATCCTCATATTTATTACTAGTCATTGAGCTTTAACTCGCATTTGCTGACTTGAACACGGTCCCATACCGTCCAAGTTGTTTAATTTCGGATCTGGAATTTATTACTTTTAATTTGGATTCACCCCTTGTCTATTTATTAAATTGCTTTAACTAAAAGGGCTTAAAACTTTTTGGTCAAACAATTTGGCGTCGTCTGTGGAGAGTTCCTAGTTAAAAAGTTTAGTTTCTTCTAGATCTAAAAAAAAACACAACAAAAGCCCACTTTTTCTTGTTTGCACAAGCTAACAATGGCAGGAAAAGGAGAGGAAAGACTGAAAGCAGTGATGGGTGTCACCACCAATCTCCTAGGCACCATCAACGAGGTGGACAGGGAAGACGAGGAGAATATGACGCCGAGCGCGTCACCCAGGCAAAGTGATTCACCTCCTCCTCATGGGAGTGTAACCGCTTCCTATGAGAAGGGAGTCTCCACGTCCACGACGGAAGAAGCACCGCCCGTAGTAAAAAAGTTATTGGAGGCGTGGCTGACAAGTTGTCACGACCCAATTTCATTATAGGTCGTGATGGCGCCTAACACCGTTGTCAAGCAAGCCAACCCGAAGATATTAGTGACTTCCCATTTTACTTTACCAAAACAATTCCAGCATTTTTTAACTTGAATTTAAAACAAGTGATAATTAGCAACGTAAAATAATAGTTATACAACCCAAAACAATAGTCTACCAATGTGCGTGCCAAGACCTGGTGTCACAAGTATATGGACATCTAGTAGAATATACAAAAGAATAAATCTATCCTACTGTCTGAAATAGAATAGACAGTCAAAAACAAAGAGAGACTCCATCATGCTGCTGAACGTCGTAGGAAGGGAGCAGCTCACCGTGGAATCTCGGCCTACTATCAAGAATGCGCACCAGACTGGTAGCCAGATGTACCCGCCTCAGATCATGTACAATTAAGTACAGAAGCGTAGTATGAGTACATAAACAACATGTACCCAGCAAGTATCCAGTCTAACCTCGAAGAAGTAGTGACGAGGGGTCGACTTGACACTTACTAAGGTCAATGCCAATAGTAATAAAAGATTACACTACGCATGGATAACATGGACATAATAGCAAGCTCAAAATTTATTGAGAATAGCATATCAGTTCCAGTCATGTCTTATATTAGTTGCACTTTAGGGCATTTAACAGAGTAAGTCATGGATAAGATTCCATATAAATATCATGCGCACATTATGCCGAGATCGTACGGTCCGGTCCAACATAAAAGAAACTGTGCACTGCCAGAGGGTCGAATGGCGCGAACCATAGATGCATCTATTTCTACCGCGGCGATCGGCCCGATCCACAAATATCAATTATCATCAAGAAAGCACATAAAGACACATTCATAGTCAAATAAATTCACACAAGTTCTCAAGTAAGTGCATAAGTTCATATATATTTATTTTCAATCCCTAACATGTCTTAAGTGATCTCATTAGCATGAAAGGACATAAACATTTGCAAGTATGGCATGATACGGGTCCTAAATTACCCGGACAATTAACTTAATAGTAGCTACGCACGGACTCCCGTCACCTCGTGCGTACGTAGCCCTCACAAATAGGAGCACGTAATCAGTTAACTCACCTATGGGGACAATTCCCTCTTACAAGGTTAGAAAGGAGACTCACCTCGCTCCAAAGCTTACTTCCAATATCAAGAACGTGCTCAAACCCTCAATTTGGAGCCGAACGATCCAAAACTAATTAAACGAGGAAGGAACTAGTCAATACAAGCTCAAGAGTTCACATTCTAACTATTAAAGTATTTTTCCAACCCTAAACACAAGTTTCTTAAACTCCATCCACGGGCACACGTGCCCGGATTCCGGAAATTTTTGAAGAAAGTTGTTCTCTATAACCTAAGGGTCAAGAATATATGAGTTCTACTTTATTCCTTAACAAATTTCGTAGTTAAATCTTATTTTTATCAAAACCCTAGGTTTTACTCTAATCCCATGATTTTTCACTAATCTTTATGTGTTAATCTATCCAATACCGAAGTATTAAACTCACAATAAGTAGAAATAACTTACCTCAATATGCTAGGTGAAAATCTTCTCTCAAGAGCCCCAAAATCGCCCAAGTTATGAGTAAAAATGAGCCAAAAATGGCTAACACCCGCAATAAATGAAGGTCACTGCCTTCAGTGATTTCTGCATCTGCGGTCCTGGGCCGCACCTGCGCCCACCGCATCTGCGGAAGAGTATCCGCTTTTGCGGAAATTCTGCTGGCCGGCTGGGCCGCTTCTGCGGGAAGAAAACCGCTTTGGCGGCTTCTGGGTTGGCCTACCTTGGCCGCTTCTACGGGGGCTCGACCGCTTCTGCGGTCTCGCACCTGCGGCTGACCAACCGCAAGTGCAGTTATGACAGATACCTGGAGCTTCAGCTCCTTCCAAAAATTTTCAACTTCACTCGAGCCTCGTCCGAGTGACGCCCCCGCCCGAACATACCGACAAGTTTGAAATCATAAAACGGACTCGCTCGAACCCTCGAAACGCCCGAAACAACGCTAAATCTAAGAATCACACCCTAAAACCAATTGAATCAAACTTATGAACTTCAAGTTCTTCAATTTACTTCCAATGCGACGAAACACACTTACACTACTCGGATTGACACCAAATTTTGCGTGCAAGTCTTAAATGGCAATACGGAACTATTCTCGGTCTCGAAACTCTGTTCGGACCTCGATAACACAAAAACCCGCTCCAAACCAAACATTTAAGAACTTCAGGTAAAATATCAGTGAAGTTTTATAGGTCAAATAAGTGTGCCTTTGCTAATGTCTAGTTTGAGCTTAAGTTGCACAGGGTTGTCTCAAAATGCCTCATATCACTAAGAGGATCTGTACGCTTTATGTGTGGCTTTTATCTCTTTCCAACTTCTAATGTGACACTTTGTTCTCACGCCTAACAATGACTTAGTTTGATTTCCTACATGCAGACTGTGTGATCTTATTGGGATTGGTGTTGCAATGGCTACTGAAGCTCAATTTGCACCAAGTATGCCCAATAGAACTTACAAGTCAATGCTTATTCCACTCATGCAACAAGATAAAAGATTAGGTACAAATTCGCTATTTTGAGATCTTAGGCATATTGCAAATGTTAGTTTCAAGTGTCACTATACTTAGAGATCATAACCCCTCCGAATGGAAGTTGGACACACTTATTGTAGGTGAAACGACTCAGAGAGGGTTCTATATATACGATAAAAGACGCAAGGCCAAGCCTGATCCAGAAATTAACAAGTATATTGACAAGGCAAGAGAGATTTCGGGTGTCACTATTGATCCTAAGGTTTCTCTTTCTCCTCTTAAGTTGCCCACTCCCTCTATTGATATTAAAAAGTAATTGAAATCATTCCTGTTTTACTCTAAGCTCTTATACTTGAGTGTTTTGGGCTTGATTCAGCTGGCAAAACTCTCGGACAAGGATATCGTCGAAATGATATTGTTCCTTGTAGTTAATGAAGCATGCAGATTACTTGCTGAAGGCATTGCCGTCAAACCTGCTGATCTTGACATTGCTTCTGTCATGGGAGGGTTCCCTCCTTACAGGTCTGTGCATTTATCATAGTGAATGTACGTGTGCGCGCGCTTCCTTCTTCCATGAAAACCATCATGGCTAGCAGGCGGATCTAGCCTTCTGACATGGGATTCAACTGCAGCCATAACTTTCGACGCACAACATAAATTATGTATAAAAATTCACTAAATTACAACAACTAGTAGATATGAACTCATAATTTTAAAGATACAATGGGTTCAATGGTAAGAGCCTAAAAGGCTGAAGCCATAGAGTTTAAATCCTGGATTTGCCTCTGATGACTAGAATAACGAGACTAAAATAGTGAAGAAAAAATATTGTAATAGTAATGAAGATCTGATTGAATACTTGTTGGCTAGGGGAGGGATCATATATTGGGCAGATACTCTTGGATCCAAATACATTTGTTCAAGATTGGTTGAGTGGGCAAGAATGTATGGGAACTTTTTCAAGCCTTGTGCCTACTTAGCTGAAAAAGCTGCTACTGTGGTTCCTCTGGTGAGTATCTTGGGATTTATTATGTTGTTTTTACCAAATTTGAGTACATTTTATAGCCTGATTATCTATCCTGAATACCTTCCACCCCCTATCCTTCTCATGTCTATAATATATATGCATTGAACTTTAACTTTAATACATGAGACAGTACTGTGTAGGGGATCCTTGGAGCAACGAGAAAGTTGTCTCCGAGGTCACGGTTTCGGTCTGTGGAAGCAGCCACTAATACTTGCATTAAGGTAGGTTGTCTACATCACACACCTTGGGGTACGGCCCTTCTCTAGACTCTCTGTGTGAACGCGGACACCTTGTGCACCGAGCTGATCTTTTATATGAGACAATACAGTGTACAATTTTTATAAAACAAGCCATTCAAAAGATAACTACAGATGACCATGAGATTAGTAGCCTAGCCTACCACAACAAATATTAAAATTCACTGATAGTGTAGGAATTTTAGACAAAATCAGTGTATGCATATAAGATAAATCCATATGCAACGTTGTTATTATTATGAGGGTTTTGAATTTTCGTTGTGGTCATTGCAGAGTACAACAATGGATCCTGCAAAGTCACGCCTATAAAATCAGTTATGTTTGAGCAATCTTCAATTTTCAGAACTATATTGTTTGTTTACTGTACTGCGGTGTGTTGGATAGATTTATGAATGTGGTTAATAATGTATTAATGGAGAAGGAAGGAATATAGATTACTTATGTAACTTAAAACTTAACCATCCCAGAACAATTTGGGAATTTCTTTAGCTGTCTGTCCATCTTTATGTTAAGTGCTTTGATACTCCTATATGTATAGGCTGTATAGCAGACCAATATAATTTTCATCAGCATTAAACATACATATAAAGCTCCATAAGATAGTATCGTGAATTTAAGTAGATTATTTGTTTACCTGTTGCTGAAAACATGTCTGAAATTATCCTAATTAGCTTTTGTTTTCACATTTAATCTATACATAAAATAATGGCAGAAGCAATTCACTGTTTTACCCATTAAATTAATTTGAAGCAGTTCCTATCCCATATCGGCTAATCAACATAACATGTGGTTTGTTGGAAAATTTGGTAGATATTGGATTATGGAGAATAAGATTTAGCTTGAGGCGTGTCAAAGACACCGTCCTTAAGGATATTTCGCCCACACCATGATAAATAAAATTAGGCGTATCCCCAGGATTCAACAAGCTCTTCTAGTATAACTAGGAGTAGAAACAACAAAAATTGAATAAAAGAAAACCCAACACAAAAGAAAAGAGAAGAATTTTTTTAACTTTGTTCACCCTACCATAATGAATACAATCAGATAGTTTTATATACAGTCCAAAGGAAATGGACATCTTATGTAATAAAAGAAACATTAAAATCCATTAAGGATTCACTGCCATCAAACATTATAAACATTTAAAACCAAAGAATCATTATTATTAAAGTTAATGAAATGTTATCAAAATAGACGTTAAGAAACAGTCATACAAGACCAATTTTTGGTCAAATTCAAAGTTATTAAAACATAACTGATTTTGATACTCACTCATGTTAATAAAACATCAATTTTCTTAAAGCCATAATGATAGCTATTTAAGGTTAGTAAATTGTTATATTCAAAGCTATTCAAATATCCAGTTATATATATTAAAATATATTCAATTGATTGGTATAATAAAGATCTATTGAAATAATATTAGAAATTATGCTTTATTTGAGAAATACTATCAGTTAGTATTTTGTATGTGGATTTTCCACTGTATTAGAAAGATACAGTGATGATATTGAATCTCTGATTCAGATGAGAAAAAACTAGCTAATTGTTGTGTGATCACCTTGGTGGGTATTATGATATTAAAATTGCCTGGCAGTTAAGTTGAATAAGCAACCTATTGACGTGTATTCCACTAGGAATTAAACCGACAAAGTTTGTGTCGATGAATTAAGATTGCCAAGGTGCAATAGCCATTGTAAGAAAATAAATCTTTCTATGAAAAAAGTAGACACATTTTTTTAAGATATAATGTCATAAAGCAATTGCTTAGAGATGAGAATTTTTTATACATATTATGTGTAGTCAAAAGAGGATTTGGCCAATCCTTTGACTTATAAGTGAAACATCGAGGGGTTGAGACTTTTGCCAATTAGAGATATATCAACAATGATGGTAACCCAACCTATGTGATTGGAGATCCCATGAAGTAGGTTCATATGGGTAATAACAAGTCATTAGTTGATCAAATGTGCACTATTAAATTACGTCTCTTCCTATGGTGTGTGTATATAGTGCAAGACTACAAAGAATGTGAGGCTGAGTTATTAAACTCTTAATCTAATAATCCATAGCCTATAGGTGGTGTATTATGCTGCAGAATACACTTGATGGATGCACCTATATGAGTGTGGAGCGGGGCCGTTCCTATGAAATTTGTGGCAAAATTTCTAGAGCACTCACGAAAACCAGCCTATTAGCGCAAAATCGCGATAAACAACAAAGTATGTGGGGGTATAATGTGATAGATAAGACACTAAACTTACATAAGAATTCTTGGTTCATAGAAGTTTTAAACTTCACCAATTTTTCTGTAAGTTTAATCTTATTTTATCTAGGTCTGGTTCATAGTCCAAGAGACACCAGATTCGACGCATTATGCTCATTTGTGAAAACCCAGCGAATTTTTGTTTATTTTACTCTATTACTTAATATTCTTTTTGAGTTATGTGGGGGATTGTTGGAAAAATAATTTGCTAACTCAAAAAGAAATATTCAAATTAATGTCTTGGTCCATTCTTCTAATACAAAAATTTTTCCAACATGATTAGCTTTAGAAGAGCTTTACAATTGACAAGCTTAGTAACGATAGCTTGGTAACTTCAGCTATACGAGCCTGAAGTAGCTTGTTTCGTAATTGCTGAATTTCAGTATTCTAGGAGCTGAAGTTTTGTTTATATTTGCTGAACTTAATCTATCTATTTATATCTATATCTATATTTATATCTATCTATCTAATTATTATAAAAGCACGAATAATTTATGTTAAATATTGAACGACTAAAATATCCCCAAAATATTGATTGACTTTTATGCCCTTAAATATTTGTATAATATAAGGATCTAATTGTAAATTACCTAATGATGGATCCGGAATTCTTTTTCGACTTAAATTACATATATACCAACCCTACAAAGTTCATTCTACTTGGATTAAAAAGGCATGTCCATAATTTTCTTTTAAAAAGAATTATTATTCATAATTCCAAAAAAAAAATATTGTGGGCGAATAGGATATTTACGTAGCATATTATAAAGTCAATACAAGATTCTTCCTCACAATGTGTTGTATTTGATAAAGAAAGAGTCTATATGCTTAATTTCCCTTCAGTACGGCAATTCCGGAATGTGAGAATTTTGAGTTCTATTTGGAGAAGGGAATTTTTTTTAATTAATTTAGGGATCTTAAATTTTTACAAATATAAAGAAAAATTTAGTATTAAGCTCTAAAAACATTTACGAAATTTTAAGTTAAAGTAAAAAAAATCTTACAACCCTTTAAAATCTTAATTTATATTAGCTCATATAAAGTTAAAAACTAAATTAAGTTAGATATCTTTTATAACTACTTTATGTTCCTAAATATTATAAGTTACTACATAATTCAAATAATTGAGTCAATTTTAAAATATTAATTAATAAAAAATCATTAAATATTAATTTTTAAAATATAAAATCTAATTTAAAGGAAAAATACGGGTGTAAGTTTCTATGAATATCTTTCTTTTACATGACAGTAAAGTGGTTCTAATAATGCAGATGAAACTTAAGTAATTTTATTATCTTTGTAAGTTAAGACGATATCATTTTGAATTCAAGTATTTTGTTTATGTAATACTATTAATTTCTAGATTCAAAATGATTGTCGTATTTTGATCACGTCAATTACTCTACAATGATCATTTAATCTTGTAAATAATTTGTTGATAAATTTAGTTAGTTGTTCTTTCACACAAGAGTTCTGACTAAAGATTTACGTGCAACGCACGCACATAATGACTAGTTATTTGAAAAGTTGATACAATAGAGCGCCCCTGCAATTTTTACCAAAAAAGAGGTAAGTCTAGCGACAAGTGGACTCTATATGGAGACCATTTTACTCCTTAGTCCTTACCATCAAATGTCAAGTAATAAAAGTCTAAATTATATACACAGAAACAAAATATTGATTTCTGTTATTCATGACTCATCTAAAAATCAATCTGTGACATTATTTGGATGCTATTTAGTAGTGGTTAAGTTGGAGGAAAATTTTAATATTCAAGAGAAACACTTTTTAATTTCTTCCCTTATTTTTTTTATTAGGTGAAAACTTAGTAAGGGGATGACTATTTATTCTAGTAAAGTTTGGCATGAGGAACGCAACATTTAATATCATAATTTGCCCTCAGGTCTTCTGAAATTTAGACTAATTTTATTTTGATTAACTATTCACAATTGCCCAGGGACGTCTGATTTCAAAAAAACTATTCCCGATTGATATTCGTTATTATAGTTGTTTGACCAATAAGTGTTAAGCTTCTTGTTGAACTAATTAATAAGAATATAGAGGATAAAATCATAGCCAAGAATAATTAACTTTAGATTAAACATCAAAGCACATTGAATAGGAGAATAAGATATAGTCAAGCCTATGAACTTTCAAAACTTATAGAAGATATCGAATATAAATAACATGCTTACATTCTTGTCCGTAATACAAAAATAAAGAAGGAACAGAGGGAATGCCATTGATAGTTGCAAGATCTATCATTATTGGTTCAAGAAAGACGATTACAAAGATTTGTCGCCAAGATCTGCAACTTCTTGTGTTTTTCTCCTATAGCCTTCTCTGGTTCTTCTGCATTTTTCTTCTGTAGGAGAGAGGCCCCCCTTTTTTTGTCTTCTTCCCTCCTATATATATCATAAGTATTTCCTTTTGTCCAATAATCTTTAGCCAGAGGACTTTCATCTCCTGATCTCACTTTGTGTCGCGCCCCTTAAGTATCGCGACGTACACTTTGCCGTACAAACTTTCTGATGGCTCGATCTTGGCGGTTGCGGAGATACTCGTCGTTATTACGCCTTTTGGATACGAACACGACTTTAGTCGACCCCTTACCATACCTTTTAGCGCTAATCCATGTGTGGTTAGATTTTGACCCATACAGTTAGTCCCTCCACCTGTTGGGGTCGCCTCTTGGAAAGCTCGATGGGCGGACTCTGTTGATTCAAAAATTGGGAGAAATCTGAACGCTTCATGCGAGGGGCGACAACCGAGGTAGCGACATGACGCTTCGAGAATTACGACGATTCAAAATTGGACCGTCACGTCAGTTGAGGATGTCATCAATATTCTCCATTCGTCATTATGGCGCACAATTTCTAGGCATTGTATCGTTTCCCGTTCCCTTTCGATTTTCTAACTGGCGGCTCTTGGTTTTCCCGCTCAAGGCACTTGTATCTCTATAAATAGGGGGGGG